TCGTAAACTTTACAAATACGAGTACTGTCTTTAAGTATCTCAAGATAATTGTAAATAGGAGCAGTATTTTTTTTCATTTATTTTTTAATTTGTTGATAGTTTGATTCCGATTATTAACGCTTTCAGAAGAATTTTGTGTATTATTAAAAAAAATTCGATTGTTTTAGCAAACATGATATTAATATATTTAATCAATATTGAAAAGATAATGAAAAGATGAAACAATTTTTTTATTTTTTTTTAACTTATAGATTAATTTAATATCGAATATAGATGATAAAAAATGAGCAACTTTTATATTCGAATTTTTTTTTTTTAAATGTATGTTTGATAGAAAATAAATAAAACTTTATTATTACAATTATTACATAAAATATTTATAATGCAAACCAACTAAACCTGAGTTTTTGTTTTAATGCTAATTTAAAAAGAATAACTTGTAAACAGATAAAGCTTAAAATTATAATAAAATTCTTTATGAGTGCACCTGGCTTTGGCAATAAGAATAGCATAAATAATTCCAAAATAATATTTATATGTGTTTTGAAATAATGTGCATTCTGTATAAAAAACTTAATATATGAATAAATTAATTATTAGCAAAGCCACCTTTATTTATTATCTTTTGTCTCAAGATAATACTCATTCACTTATTCTAAATAATATGCGTAAGTTCAAAATAATATGCAGGTAGGCGATAATATGATAACAACATTTGTTTTGTTTTACCCCAGTTTTTTAGTTGGAATTGTAATCTTTATGATCAATCAGATTAAATAACAATGCAAAATTCTAATTATATACCTTCACTTAAACAAGAAAATCTATACAATTATACCAGCACTTAGTGTTGAAACAAGTGTGATAGAGAATTGAACGCTGCAATACAATATAATAATTAATGATTCTAAATTCCAATTACATACCTTTTATTTATGCAATTTTCATCTAAACAAGAAAACCATACAATTATACCTGCACTTAATTATTATCGAAATTGCAAAATTCTGTATCTCTTAATCATTTGAGTGATGATCATCACTCCACAATCGATTAATTGTAATAAAAATAAGTGCTTATATTAAATCAAAAAATTCTTTTGATTTATTATTTTTCATTCTTAAAGAATCATTAATGCTCTTAAGCATAGTAAAAGTATTTACTACATCACAATTACAATCGTAATCAACAATAATGATCATTACTTGAATGATTAATAGGATAATTTTGCAAATCACAATAAACCAAATATGATGGTGAATTAATGTTGATAATTGTAGATTGTTTGTTAATTCTAAAGCTGCAATGCAACAAATAATTAACGATTCTAAATTCTAATATATGCCTTTCATTTATACAACCTCTATCTAAACAAAAAAATTATCAGCGCCTAACCATTTAAGTAGTATTAGTAAAAGTTACACATCAATCATAAATAATTATAACCAATTGTGACGTTAAAATGTCAAATGCGGTATAATTTAGCATCGACCTTTATCTAAAAAAATAATCCTAGTAATAATCAATAAGTTAATAGTCAAACTCAAAAATAACTAATTGCTTTAAATAACACGCCTGTACATATTTCTAAAAAGCATGCAGATATTCAATAACATGTTATTTCACAATTTTATAGTAATCGCACCTTCAATTATTGATATTAATAATTAATAATACTTGCAAAATAAATCATTGTTTAGAAAATGTTAAAGAATAAATAAGATTAATAAAACAGTTAATTATATACCTTCCAAATTATTATATAAGGCTACATTCCTTTTTTGCTTGTTTATTAATTCGTCTATTTGAATTAAAAAAATAATTGCATAAATTCTCTTTCTTTCACTAATTCATCTATTCGAATTAAAAAAACAATTAATTAATAATCTGATCATAAACTGGAGAATAGGTGAAATGAGACGTCTGCCATCTAAAATTTTTTTTCTTACAAGTTAATGATACATGCTTACTAATTGAAAGTTGTAAAGCTCGTCGAGATGCATCTAACGGTGGTTAGATCATCCAAATCGGCTTAGTGAATGACGAGATATCATCGAAATACGATTGACTGACTATATAAAAATCTGTAATAGAAATTATATATGAAAATCACTATCGGCAAAATGTGGCGTGCTCCCATCTAAAACTTTTTTCTTACTAAGTTAATTGCTTTTGTGTATTAACTGAAAATTGTATGATGATTTTTATATATATAGTCAGCTAATCGTATTTTGACAATATCTCGCCATCCACTGGGCCGATTTGGATGATCTAACCACCATTAGATGCATCTCGACGAGCTCTACAACTTTCAATTAGTAAGCATATATCGTTAACTTGTAAGAAAAAAAAGTTTTAGATGGCAGATATCTCATTTTGCCTATTTTTCAGTTAATAGGCGGATTATCAATTAATTGTATAAATTCTCTTTCTTCTACTAATTCACTTATTCATTACTTCGTTATTTTAAAAAATTTGATAATGTCATCTAATTTATCTAAAAATTCGTCTGCTTTGTCCTCCCTTGAAAATATCCAACATTCTTTTATAGTTCAATCAAAAAAAAATAAGCTTATAAATATTCAGTGAATTTGATAGTCTTGAAACTTTCAATCTCTGTGATACATGTGAAAATTCCTTAAACTTAATTGCTAAAGAACATTATGTAAAGTTATTAAATCACAACCTATTGCAATAGATTATAATTAGTAATCAACCTTTATTAACTATAGAGGATAATTTCTTCAGTAACTTTATTTCTACTCTTAATCTGCACTATAAAATCACTTGTTCTCAAACTCTTTCTAAAGATATTGAAAGCCAATTCGAATCAGCAAGAATAATTATAAAAAATTTTTTAAAAAATAACAAAAGCAAACTGTCTCTTACCATAAACACATGGACTACACCTTTCCAACAGTCCTTTCTCAGAGTTATCATTTATTGAATAAATAACAAGTGGATAATGCATACCATTCTTCTTGATATCATCACCTTACCTAATACTTACATTAATGATTATATTGAAAAAAAGGTCTTCGAGCTTATAAAGGACCTAGAAATTAAATTGAAATTAATTGACTTTACTGGAAATAATACATTAGACAACCAAAATTGTTATAATTATCTTCAAAAAACTCTTCAAAGACCTATATGGTTTGACTTTATATTCATTCAATACCCATTACATATCATTAATCAAGTAGCTGAAGAATTTCAAAAAGTTACTTTAACCAAATTATTAATAAAGCTCATAATTTATATAACAAATTAATAACATTACCTTCACTCTTAAAGGAATTAGAATGAATTTCTGTCTTATTAAATCATTCATTAGTTTACCCTAAAATTAATAAAAAAGAGTGGTGTTTTACTTATTTAATATTTAAATGGTTCATTCAAGTTCGTATTATTACTAATGAACTTATCCATTTCTATTTAAATATCAAAAAAATTTATTTTGACTTTGTTGAGTGAGAAATAATTAAAGAAATATTAGAAATCCTTAAACCTCTTTACATAGCAATTTTAGTCATATTACAAAATCTACAACCTTTACATAGAGGTATATAAACAATTATTTGCAACCTCTTATTACACCTTAATAAATATATTCTTAATGAAGCAGCGAAGACAATAAGAGATGTGTTAAGAAAGTATATATACGACCTTATAAAATCTCTCCCTATGCACGTTCTACTCGATCTGTCAACAAAGTTAAAAATCTTTGATGACGAAGGTGATCAAAGATTAGCTATTGTTGAAATGCATTTGATCATTACACTATTTAATCTAAAACAGCTGGATGCAGTATCTCAAATTAATCCTTTAAAATTTTTTTAGCAAATAGTGGCTAGTAAAAAAGATGAAAAAGAGCTAGTAAGAAAGCTAAACATATACTTTGCTTTATCTAGTAAGCCAGGGATCAACATGCTTATGTAGTGAAAAAATAATGCTTACCAATACCCAACCTTAGCACTTCTGATAACAAACTTTCTTTCCTTACAAACTACTAGCATTGCCTCTGAATATACATTGTCTGCAGCAAAGAAAATTATTAAGCCTACAAAAAACTGCCTATTAAATCAAACAGTCAAAGCTTCGTTGCTTTTAAGAAATTGGAAATTTTAGAATAGACAAAAATTATTAATATGTAGAATATAAATTATCTGTTATAAGTTCTATTTTTTTTTAAATAAAGTTATCTGTTTATCGTTATCGTCATATCTAATATTGCATGTGACTATTAAAACTCGGTTCAAGTCTGACTCGGAACCGAGTCTAAATTAAGACTCGACTCATGGAGTCGAACCGAACCGAACCGAACTTTTAACATCCCTACCCGTAGCAATCCCCTTTATGAAAAAATAATAGGACTGGCGTTGTAAATTAGTAAAATCCGCTACGTAGATCATGTTAGGGTGAAATCCGCGCTTAACTATATACCATGTCGTAAAATAATTACCCATTAAAAGACGTGTTATCGAAACAAACGTATAATACGTCATCAGATTTTTTTTTTGGGCAGCTCGATATAAACAAAAAACCGCGATGCACATCGTTAAAAAATGCTTTCATTTCCCAGCGTATCACGGCCTTTTTCAGGGATCTGTTTTTTATTAAAGTCTCAGAGGCTTCGCCTTTCGTCAGGGGCTTCGCCTTTCACTGGATGTTCCGCCTTTCACCGGGGGTTTCACCTTTCGTCAGGTGTTTCGCCTCTCGCCAGGGGATTTGTCTTTCACCAGGGTTTCGCCATTTCACCAGGGGGTTTCGTTTTTCGTCCTTTGCATAAAATGGCTTCACCTAACGACTATACAAAATATTATATTCCAAAACCGGGTGAAGTGTTGGATTTTCTTAACAGGCATTATCAGTTTCCTAGAAAAACTAGTAATGACAATATATTGAAAATTAAATGTCCAAAGTGTCGTCCAAAAAAATCAAATTTTTTTTCCATAGATATTAATGTGAATGATGGTACATATCGATGTAATGAATGTATGATGAAAGGAACTTGGAAAGATTATATGCAATTGATAATCAAAACTAGCACTTTTCAAGTCATTAATTCAACACATATGGGAATAGGTTGTCCATCCTATTTGTCAAGTTTTGAAGAAATAGATCAGTATTCAAATGAATTGCAAAATTATCCTAAAGTTATTGAAAAGTTTGAAAATTACCATGGCTTAACTTTAACGACACTACTTGCTTACAAAGTGGGAATTGCTATGTATTGCAATATAAATCCTAAATCATCAGATTCTATTGATCAAGAAACAAAGATATCACGTCAGGATGCAAAAGAGTTATGTATAACATTTCCAAGAATGGTACCATGTTTTGACGATCAAGAACAAGACAACGTATTGAAATATAAAGTTTCCCGAATTAAAGCTTGTTCAGTTGAAGATAATGAGTTTGTCACCTTTGATCCACCATCGGTCTATTCTGGCCTTTTTGGTTACCATTTGGTTCCGTTAGAATGCGAAACTATCATCTTGGCCGGAAGCGAATATGACTCGATGGCTGTTTATCAAGATGTTCAAATACCTGCCACATGTCTTCCTAATCATGGATACCAACTGCCAATAGAAATTCTTCCTTTGCTGGAAAGATTTTCAAAAATATATATTTGGCTCAATGATGATGTTCAAGGTCAAGATGCTGCAGAGAAATTTGCTCAAAAACTGGGAATTGATAGGTGTCTGATTGTAAATACAAGATGTAATGATTTTTATGGACCAATCAATGCAAGTCAAGCTTTAGCTATGGGAAAGAACTTGAAAGAAATTTTATCACTAGCCAAGCCATTACAGCATGAACAAATTGTAAATTTTGACAATCTCAAAGAAGCTGTATATAGAGAAGTTATTAACCCGGGCCAAGTTTGTGGAATCTCTTCAAAAGATTTGCCCGCATTGACACAAATTTTGAAAGGACATAGACCTGGTGAATTGACAATTTTTACAGGTCCCACAGGATCCGGTAAAACTACTATTTTAAGCCAACTCTCTCTAGATTATTGTATATCAGGTGTAAGCACATTGTGGGGAAGTTTTGAAATACCTAATGTGCGTTTAGCAAAAAAAATGCTAACACAATTCGCAGGTGAAGATTTATCTAAAAACCCTAAAGAATTTATGAACTGGGCACAAAAGTTCCAACAGGTAAACTTTAATGTCATTTCATCTTCATCTTCTAATTCATTATACAAATTATAATTAATATTGATGAAATATATTGATATTAGTTGCCAATGTATTTTCTCAAATTTTTTGGTAGCACTGAAGTCTCAACAGTAATAGATGCTATGAACCACGCTATATATGCTTTCGATGTCCAGCACATAATTATTGATAATTTACAATTCATGATCTCAGAACAAGGAAAATTCATAGACAGATGGGAGTTACAAGATCGCACAATTTCTACTTTTCGTAGATTCGCTACTGAAAAAAACGTTCACATAACAATGGTAGTTCACCCAAAGAAAGACAATAGAGAGTTACTAGATATGAGCTCAATATTTGGTTCTGCAAAAATTTCTCAGGAAGCAGATAATGTCATCATACTTCAGAAGATAGAGAGTGAATATGGTGATGAGCGATATTTACACATAAAAAAAAATAGGTTTGTCATTACTAAACCAATTTTAGTTATAAACTTTAATGCTAAATTAATATAATATCAACTTTGGAATAGGTTTGATGGCACGTTAGGTGCAATTCCAATCGAATTCATACCCGATTCTTTGAAAGTAAATTGCTTTGGCATTTCGCAATGTGTATATTATGTGTGTGTGTTAAATTGACTAAATTTTCATCTACAATTGATTTGTTTCAAGGTGCGACAACTTAGGAAGCAAAGGTCGCGTGAATCTGATTACTCATTCACAGGTGAATGCTTATTCTATTGCATTTAATTAATTTTTGATATTTGTAATATATGTTAATAGCAGTGTTGCATATTTTCAATGCCTAAGACTTTGGCATGTCCCATCCAATGTCTCGCCCAAATGTTCAAGATCATCCCAAGCATTCATTAATTGGCTGGAGCTGAAGGATGTCATGTTGAGTGATAAATTATAATAAAAATTATAATAAAAATATAACAGTCATAGGACATGTCCTATCTAAATGCTGTTACTTATAAATCAAACGAGTTGACTCACCTAATTTTATATATAAATAAAAGGGTTATATAATTTAGTCCAATTAAAACGTAAGATCAGGTGTAACGTTACACGATCAGGAAAATTCAAAACAAGCGTCCGTTTTGCCAAAAATCGTCTATAATTCAAAATTTCGCATATGCGAGTCTTAACAAAAAAATTCCTTGCAAGATTTTACTACAGTCCTGGATATTACCAAATATGGAAATTGATCTACTATTAGTAAAAGACTATTCTAGAACCGATTTATATAGTATTTTTGTTTTTTTTAAAAAAAAATCATTTAATAATAAATCTTTGAATTTATTTTAATATAAATTATTCTAAGACTATGTAGTTCAAGAATCTGCCATGATCCCAAGGGTTTTAAAAGGCAGTTGTTTATCAAATAAGAAAACAAACAGTGATTATCACTCAATTATTTGAAATTAAGAACTAAAACTTTAGATTAAAAATTATTAAATGCTAAAAAATATATATATTTTTTTCTTTCAGCAATTTTGTTTACTTTATTATAGGAACAGACTTTCCTTTTTATATTGGTATAAGAAGTCTAAATCTATAAATACTCTAATCAAAATGTAAACTTATCCATAGCATACTTTACAGATGCTGTAATATCTACTTGTAATTAGAGCGAACCATTAAACTGTTGTGTTTTGTTCAGATATAATCTGCCTAGTGAACAATTGGCCTCCTTTAGAGATCTAGAACTTACTTTAGACTATTTTCAGATTCCTTGGTTGGCTTTTGTACTAGCCTGTTAAGATTCCCACCCTATAATAGAATGTTGTCAAATTGATGACATTTTCTTATAGAGAAAGAAAAAAGAAAAAAAAGGGATAATAGAGAACGAAAAAAGTGATATATAATAAAAACTAATACATTAAAGAAAACTGATACTAATACTAAAGAATATAAAAAAATCAAACTAAAACCTAAAAAAAACTATCATTAAAAAAAAAAAAACCTGCTAACCAAACAAAAACTTCTAATTATACAGAGTCACAATCTATTATTAAGTGCAAGAGTCTTAACAAGAAATTTAAAACTAAAATAAAATGTACTATAACTCGTACCAGAGGCTAAAAATTATATACAAGTAACTAGAGAATACCTATATATATCTCTTTTTACTTTGCTTTACTCTTTCAATTAAATTCATATTTTCATCCAAAAGTATAAAAATTTTGAAATCTTCATATGTTCTATCCAATGATTATATGAAAGGGTGCTAGTAGAAACTAAGCATTTTGTTTTTAAGTAAATTTTTTTTAAACTTTGAACTAAAATATCTCAACAACTACTAAACCAAATGTAATA